CCTCAGCCTCCCAAAGCACGGGATTACAGGCTGAGCCACCGAGCCCGCTGTAGATTTCATTTTATGTGGTGCACAATTATTTAGATTTTTGTCAGACTAATTTTGCTACATCAGAAAATTGAGGCCGGGCTCGGTGGCTCAGCCTGTAATCCCGTCTGGGCGACAGAGTGAGACTCCAACTCAAAAGAAAAAAAAATTGTGAAAAAATATTTGAGTTTTTGAGCTAATTTGAAGGAGGACTGATATTCTCAGGAAGGTAATTATCTTCATTGCAACAGATTTATTGTGGATATATAGGAAACGTTTTTGCTGAACTGGAAAATAGGCATCTTCACTGGAGAATATAAATCGACAGATTTGCATATTGCAAAACTAATGATATATTTATCTGAGACTGTGTAATACATGTACTTGACCCACTTCAAAGAACACAGCTGACAGTGTTTGTTGCTAATGATAAGATCTGAACTTTGTTTTTTTTGTTGTTGTTATTGTTGTTTTGATGTGGAGTCTCACTCAGTTGCCCTGCTGGGCTCTGGCGATCCTTCTGCCTCAGCCTTCTAAGTAACCAGAACTACAGGTGCACACTACCACGCCCGGCTAATTTTTTGATTTATTGTGGAGATAAGGACTTGCCTAGCTGCCCAGGCTGGTCTCGAATCCACAGTCTCAGGCAGTTCCCTCACCTCAGCCTCTCAAAGTGCTGGGATTATAGCCACCATGCCTGGCCAGATTTGAACTTTCAAGGAAGCCTTAGAAGTTTGGAAAACTTGTATTTACTATCATGAACTTGACAGCTTTCTAATACTTCCAGACTTTCTAGTTACAGAATTGTCTAATAAAATTGTGAGTGTGCTGGGGGGGGTGACATTCGGCTGGCTGTTTGGGATGACAGACATTCCATCCTGGAACCATGGCCCAATTTGTCCATACCTTGTGGAGAAAGCCCCGGTGCTAGTGAACACTGCTGTGACTTATTTAAAGCCTCAATTGGCCACATTTTGATCCTATGCCAAGGTTGAGCTGGTTCCTCCAACCCCTACTGAGATCCCTAGAGCTATTCAGAGCCTGAAAAAGATAATCAATAGTGCTCAAACTGGTAACCTCAAGCAGCTCACAGTTAAGGAAGCTGTACTGAATGGTTTGGTAGCCACTGAGGTGTGGATGTGGTTTCATGTCGGAGAGATCATAGGCAAGTGTGGCATCGTTGGCTATAATGTTTGAAGACCAGTCTTTAACATCTGATGATATTTGACTTGTTATCTGAGTGTTTTTGGACCGTGTGTGATCAGACTGCTATCTGAATAAAATAAGATTTGTCAAAAATCAAAAAAAAATTGTGAGTGTAAGAATCATTCAAGCTGGGCCCGGTGGCTCCTGCCTGTAATCCCAGCACTTTGGGAGGCGAGAGGATTGCCTGAGTCCAGGTGTTTTGAGACCAGCCTAGGCAACTCGGCGAGCCCTTTTTTCTACAATAAATCAAAAAATTAGCCGGGCATGGTGGCACATACCTGTAGTTCCAGCCACCTGGAAGACTGAGGCGGAAGGATCACCTGAGCCCAGCAGGTAGAGGCTGCAGTGGCTGTGCGCATGTCCAGGGTGACAGAGTGAGACTTGGACTCAATAAAAAAAAAAAAACTACAACCGGCAGCAGACACTCTTGCTGTTGTCCTGCTCTTTGTGCCCTTTACAACGTATCTTTTCTTCATAAATCTACCTTTTTTAGTTCAAAAGACCAAAAAAAAGCACAGAAACTTCAGCCTGCTGAGTTTTGCCATTGTAGTAAGGAATATCCACAGATTATCTGCAAAGGCTATTAAAACACTTACTATATGTCTTTTCTAACTGTGTATTTGTGTGAGGTGAGTTTTTTTCATAGAACTCAGCCAAAACACTATAGGATAACTAACATACTTAATGTAGAATCAAAAGAGGTTTCAGCTATTCTATTAAACCATGCATTAAGGAGATTTGCAGAAATGTAAAACAGTACCATTTCTCTAATTATTTTTGGAAAATATAGTTATACTAATGGAAATACAGTATTTTTGTTAACATATAATGGACCTGTGATTGTTATTTATTTTATTTTAACTTTTATTTATTTATTTGAGTTGGAATCTCATTCTGTCGCACAGGCTGGAGTACAGTGGCATGATCACACTCAGCAGTCTCAGCCTGCTGGCTCAGGTGATCCTTCTGCCTCTGTCTTACGAGTAGCCAGACCTACTGGCATGTGCCATCTGCCCCCTTTTGATTTATTGTAGGGACAAGGTCTCGACAAGTTGCTTGGGCAGTCCTCTTTGCCTCTGCCTCCCAGGGTACTGGAATTGCAGGCATGAGCCACCGAGCCCGGCTTGTTATTTTCAAGTGAACTGTTAACTATTTTTTAAAATTTTGCTTTTTAATTAATACATTTATTTATGTATTTATTTATTTAGAGTTGGAGTCTCACTTTGTTGACCAGACTGGAGTGCAGTGGCACGCTCATGGCCACTGAAGCCTCGACCTGCTGGGCTTAGGCAATCCTTCCGCCTCAGCCTTCCACGTAGCTGGAACTACAAGTGTGCACCACCACACCTGGCTATTTTTTTTTTAATTGTAGAATTGAGGTCTCACCAAGTTGCCCAGACTGGTCTTGAACCCCATGGGCTCAGGCAGCCCTCTCACCTCAGTTTCCTAAAGTGTTGGGATTACAGGCATGAGCCACTGCACCTGGCCTGTTAATTTTAAATACAGTATAAGTGTCAATAGATATAACCTGAGTAAATAAAAATTTGGAGACATTCTCCATAATTTTTAAGAATTTGCAAAGGTCCTGTGACCAAAAGATTTGAGAACCAGTGACCCAAACATTTGTCCTTCAAGCTTGATATTTCCTTCTCCGTCATTTGGCTATATCTGTGAAGAGTAGCAGTATGGTGCTATTTCCAGATGATGCTGGCAAAACAAGGTGGACTCCTCCTTTGGTTTTATTCCTGTTACTAGATCCCTTTGTAGAAATGGGTTTTTTTTTGAGTTGGAGTCTCACTCTGTCGCCCAGACTGGAGTGCAGTGGCCGCTCAAGGTTCCGGTGATCCTTCCGTCTCAGCCTTCCAAGTAGCTGGAACTACAGGTGCGTGCTACCCCGCCCAGCTAATTTTTAAATTATTATAGAGATGAGGTCTCGCCAAGTTTCCCAGGCAGGTCTCGAACCCGTGGGCTCAGGCAATGTAGAAATGTTTTAATTCACTTGGCTTACTTTATGGTCAGTTGTGAGTGTTTTCCCAGTTTTCTCAGAAGCATATTTATAGCAAGGTAGAATAAGTACGTTTCTAGGTGGCAAATCATTTTATAGTGATTTTTAAAAATAATGTTACTGACTTTACCCAAATTCTTGTGGCTTGACTTTATTGTATTCTAAATTCTGTAAGGAAATGGTATCTAATAGTAATTCCGTGTAAGCTGGGGGATGCAACAGTGAACAAAAATCTTGACTCTCACTGATTTTGGGGAGACAATTTGTAATATGTGCTATACAGACTAATAAAGCAGGGTGGAAGGGATAGGGAGTTGGTGGTAGGGACAGGGAAGGTGCCCTTCTCATGCATGGGGGGTGGAGGGGACAGAGAAGTCCTGAGGAAAACCCTGTTCAGTTATTGGGTTGATTCATACATTCGTAGCATTTTTGCTTGCTCAGAGAAGGCAAATGTCACAAGATAGTTGGTCACAGTTCATCACATTTGCCAGTTCTTGAGTTGACTGACAGGGATCATCATGGATTAAGGTGTTTAAGTGGTTTTCATCAAAGCCTGATGGTCTTCCTGATTGTGGAGAATCACACAGGTCAAAATGACCTTCTTTGATTTGGGTTTCTTTTTTTGAGCCAGAGTCTCAGTCTGTCACCCAGGCTAGAGTGCAGTGCCACACTGGCAGCCACCGCAGCCTCGACCTCCTGGGCTCAGGGGATCCTTCCACCTCAGCCTTCCAAGTAGTTGGAACCA